TAATCTAAACAATATTCAGCAGTACAGTGAGGGCAGAGCCAAAATATTTTTTAAGAAAACACAGACATTGTATAATCCTGGCTCTGCCACGTACTACCTGTGTGACTTAAGCTAGTTACCCAACTTCCCTGAGCCTTAGCACCCTCTCCTGTAAAACCAAACTAATAATTCCTTATTGTTTTAAACATACGCTATCAAAACCCATGGCACAATACCAGACACCTATCAAGGTGCTCAAAAACTCGCACCTGGCCATGAATCGATTTGCACATGTGTGACACGAGGTCTACAGGAGGCTATTTGTTGTAACATGGAATATCCTAGTGAAATACCAGAAACAAGTCCTCATCAGTAAGACCTTGGTTAAGTAAATGATGGAACCTCTGTCAAACGAAATACTATTCAACTGTATAAAAGAACATGTTCTTCTATATTTTTTGATATGGCAGAAGCTCTAAGATATAATGTTAAGTGAAAACTGAAAGAAGCAGAATAACAATATCTTGTGTTTTAAAAATGGGTCAATAATAATATAAAGAAACAGTGGGAGGGTGTATAAAAAATTAATAGAAGTAGTTACCTGTGGAGTTAGGAGGTAGGGACTGGGCAAATTAGAGGAAAACGTGGGAGTAAGACTTCTCGTTGTATATCTTTTTTGGATTTTTAAATATTATTTTTGAACTATGAAAATGCATTTCTATCCTCAAAATCAAATGATGAAAAATAGTTGCAGAAAAACAGCTCCTAACAAAATTTTATCAGTACTACAATATTGAAATGCCAGCTCACTTCATTTTCTAAACGCCTTGATTGACCTCTTTCTACCTACCAAATAGGAAACCAGAGAAAAAGAACATTTCTCAGTTCTGACTCTGGGAAGACTGTGATGAGGGAGGAACAGGAACTGGTAAAGAATTCATTACTATTATTTATTGGATCCTGCGGGCCTGCAAACACGTCAGGAATCCAAGCAAAACAAGCCAAGAAACAGTGTTAGCCTCAAAAACAACCACCGACAGTGAGCGGTGTCACTTGCAGAATGAATGAACAGGTGTATAGCCACTTAAAGATTAATTTCCACATAATAGGAACAAACAGATAAATAAAAGAGAAGCCTTCCCACGGAGACTAAGAGAAATTGGACCACAGAGCAGGAGCAGCACTATTGCTGGGGGAAAAAAACACACAAGACAGTAGGTGATGAAAACAGACAGAAAACATAAAACCCAGAAGCAGCCCTCCTAAGACTTTGCATCTGCCAACTCCTTTCTGTGGAGAGTTCAAGGTCCTCCACTGAAGAGAGACCTCTCTGCCTACGCTCCCACCTTTGGGTCCAAAAGTACACAGTGAAAAAGTGGTAGGTTAGGGCCTCCACCTACAGATTTTTAGGAAAAGACACAAACATTCTGTCCATACGAGGAGCCAAGTTAAACTGCTTTCTGGGTGAGAAGTGTGCATGTGGTGGAGACCTGTTGGAGGTGATAGGATTTTTCAATGATCTCGTTCGTGTTCTTTGGCATTTTAAATTTGGTGTACTTGAGAACATTCCTGCACTCCAAGCTTTACCCTCTAAAGTACAAATATCGCGCCCCAACACGTGGCATCCTGTGGCTCCTCTGTTCCTATCGTCACTTCTAGAAGAGCCGTGAGCCTGCCCCTCCACGCCAGTGACGCACAGGAAGCTGTGGGGTGGCCAGTTTCATGTATGCGAGAAAACTGTTCTTGTTCATTTATATTTACCTTTCATGGGAAAAATCAGTATTTCTAGTCAGCAGAGATTTAGAATCTAGTCGATAGTGTGATAGATAAAATCAGCTAATTAATTTAATAATGCTAAATACAGCCAAATGAGGTCACACGTTTCACTTTAAAATTAATTACCTGTGCATATTCTTGACCAATGTGGGAGCATTTCACTTATTTTACAAAACAGCTGTTCAGTGTTTAATTTTTAAAACCGTGCTGCTAAAAACCTGCCTTTGCCCATAAAAGTCACCATATTTACATCTCAGTCTCCGTTCCGGCTCCTTTCCTCTTGAAAGCAGGTGGCTTGCGTTTCAGAATTAGCAAAATGCTAAAATAGATCCCCAAAACGCAACTTTGTCAAGCTCCTGAAAGAAAGAGTTTATGGCGCAGCGCAGTCCAGGCCATGCTGGCGACAGAGCTGGGACAGGCCAGGTCTGGGACGGACCTGGCTCTTTCTCCGCCGGCCCTCCCTTCCCAGGCCTGCCTGTCAGGGTCCCCGAGCTGGGTGAGGAGTCGCTGTCCCCGGTCCACGCAGAGGGGCGAGGCTGCCCGCTGCCAGCATTGCCCGGAGGCCTCACAGCCTGTGAACACCCCCACCCGAGAGCCCACTACCCGCAGCCCCTCCACTCGCGGGCTCCGGGCCACTGATCCCGCCGACCTTCAGCTCCCGCACCTGCAGAGCGATGGGAGCAAGAGGCTGAGCCCGCAGCACAGCGTCCTGCAGAGGCGCCCGGGCAGGTCGCAGAGCAGACAGAGCGTCCCCACGCTGTCCCCTCCACCTGAAGCCCATCCTGTGGCACTGCTTTGCTCCCTTTCAAGGCGCAAGGACAAAGAGAACAGAGGAGTGGGAGCAAGGGAACCACTGTTTTGAAGCCAGAAAGTAACTGACTGACGGGCGCTGACAGCAGACCCGGGAGCTCAGAGGTCAGAGCGCGGGCCCACACACCACAGGGTCGTGGGTTCGATTCCCAGTCGGGCACAGACCTGGGTCGCAGGTGCAAAAATCATGAAGCCGTTTTCTTCAGTTTGCTTCTGTATTTTCTGATGTCTCTACAATGCACAGGTATTCCCTGGATAATAAAAGTTAATTCTGTGTACATGAAAATATACAAAAGAAGATAAATTCAAACCAATGCTGAAGTACCTTTAATTTAAAAAAATTCCCACCTCTTTGTGAAATGTACTTTGAGCCAACGGGGGCACAGAATTTTCCTGGACACACACCATGACCTGCATCTGTCCCGGCTCCTCCCAGGTGTACAGAGCCGGCGTCTGAGGGAGAGGGACCTGGGCACGCTTCCCAGCAGCCTCCCGGGCAGGGCCGAGAGCCACCGCCGGCGACCACGCGGGCTCCTCGGCAGTGCACCAGCCCAGGCCCAGGGGACGCCACCCAGCACCTGCAGGCGGTGGCTTCTCTGGTC